GGAGACAACTTCAAGGCGCGGCACTGTGGCCGTCCCAGACATGCACAGGAATGTCCTGTTCTGTATCGCACTGGTCTGCTGCTGAAATTGCTCCATACCCCTGCCCAACCTTACACCCTACCGCAGGCCCTCCAACATGGACGCCCTACGCGAGGGAGCCCGGGAGATTGCGGAGCAGGAGATGATCGCGGCGGCGGACCAGGCCCAGCTCCTGTCTGCAATGATGAAGAGCGACAAGCTCAAAGCCAGTCTCCTGCCGGAAGCAGAGACGGGGGAGCCCTCCCAGGGGAGCACTCGAGCAGGCACGCCAGTGGGGACAGCTACGGGCTCCGGTCAGGATGCAAGGAACACTGCCGAGACTCCGGCCCCGACAACTCCTCCCCCGACGGCGGCACCGATGGACACCTCCATGCGCGAGCCGAAACGCCCAGCCGAGACCGAGGAAGAGGAGCTCCAAGGGGAAGGCTCAGGCAAAGGCCGGGACAAGTGGCCGCGCTCCCAGAGCAAGGGCAATGCAAGAGCATCCGGTGGTGGCTGGGAAAGGGATCATCGCACACCTCAGCAACGCCGCCACCAGGGACGCAGCTGGAACTGGGAGCGGGACGATCGGCAGCAGGACCGCCGGTCGGACGACCGCCGGGACCGCAAGCTGCTGGAACTGTGCCTAGCAGCGAGCCGGCTCATGATGAGGCACGAAGATCAACTTTCGATCAATCGGGCCCAGGACAACTTCGTCATGTTTGCTCAGACCAAGGGCCTCCTCTCGGCCATTCCGGAGCTCTACAAGGCCACGGAAGCATGGAGGCTGACGAAATCGGAGCACCCCGAGACCCTCACTTTGCCCCTAAGGGCCTGGCTTCTGAAACACTGGGTGGATCTCCTCCACCAGAGAATGGAGGCCGTGATGGAGTCGGAGCAGACTCTCCAGCAGGCGAAGGAGCTCCTCATCTTGGACGAGGCCTGCAATGTTCCTTACCTGGAATGGAACCGGACCGAGCGCAAGATGCAGATCAAGAAGGACAGAGATCCAATGACCTTAACGCAGGTATTGGAACTGCTTCGGCAAATGCAAGTTCTCGTGCTGCAGCCCCTGGCGATCCTCCGCTTCCACACCACCCGGGAGCTGGTTCAGAACATGCAGTCGGATGTTGTGCCGCTGATGCTGCAGATTGGCAGCCGCACAGCCGAATGCCACCAACTGTGGAACGCCTTCTACCGCCTCAGCCACAGTGGAGCTTGCCGGGTGGTGGCAACGTCCCTACGAGGGGACAAAATGGGCCGCTCGGCTCTGGCCCAAGCCATCCAGAAGCTGATCGACGAAATGTGCGCCGCCTCAGACTCCTCAATCCCAGCAATTTTTGCTATAGCAATGCTTCTGCCCTTGCATTGTGCTGGCTATGTGCCACAGGTCCCCAAGCCGGCGCTGAATCCTCTCAGCTTCTGCAGCCTGACTTGCTGCGAGTGATCCGTTGGCTATGCGCTCAGTCTCAGCCTGTCAACCTTTGGAACAACATAGCTTGGCGCACGCTGCATGCAGGCTGGCCCCAGCCAACACGGCAGCATGATATTGTAGAGTATCTTACATACCTTAGGCC